GGAAATTTAAAAATGGCTAGGACAAGCACAGATTTGCACCCCTTCTTAAAATCCCAGCTGACCAAGAGCCAGTTACAGCTACTTGACTGAGTGATTTTTTATTATTATTATTATTATTATTATTATTTTTACACAGAAAGGAGAAAGAGTCTGACAGGCAGTTCCTATAAATATAGCCCATGTATTGGCCTCAGTATCACTAGGATGAAGACTTTGACTTCTCACTATGCACAGATTGTGAGAACTCCTAACTGTTACTGAGATACAAGCTCCCCGTCCTTGCTTCTAGAGCAACCGCAACTGCAGCAGAGCTCCTCTGAAGTCACAGCTGGAGAGCTGACCCTCCCCAGTACTGCAACCAGTGACCATAAGGGGGTCAAATACAGAGTTGTATGGATGAAGCATTGAAAAATAAACTTGACCATATGATTAAAACTATTTTTTGGCTTTTAGCTACTGAAAAACCCAGGAGACTCAGCTGCAGTGGGTTTCTTGCCTTCAGCTTCTACAATGCTTATTAAGATGGCACATTATCTTCTGCGCGCACACAAAATTGAGGCTTATCCAAATAATTGTTTAAAAGCAAGCTCCAGAATACATTGGCTACAATTAGAGGGGTCAACCACCAGTCATACAGCAAATATCACTCCTAATAAGTGATACGCTGTAAGTCGTCTGTTCTACACCTGTCACTGAAGACACTCTTGGAGAACCTTCTGATTTAATGTTTGTGTGTGTGTGTGTATGTATAAATATGTTTACATACGTATATGTTGAAAGCCTTGAAACAACGTTTGTGAACTTTCTCCCGTTTGCTTTCTGCTTCTCTGCTATAAGAGTGCCAGTGAAACAATACTGGACTGTTAATTATTTGAAGCATGTGTTTCATTCCTTCTGTCCAACACTAAATACTTTTTTTTTCTTTACATTCAACGTGTCCTCCACACACACAGGTACATCCTGCCCCCAACAAACATTCCAGAGCTAACATCAAGAAAGAAAGGCACAACAGAAACTGCAAAAGGTACATTAGTTCACATTCTACTAATACCTTTAGCTTTTTTCTAATTTAAATTACAAGTTTTTAAGTAATTTATCAGTCATGGGCTCAAGAGCTATCACTGTAGAATTCAATGTCTTTCACAGCATGCCATAGATTAAGACATGCAAATATTGAGAGATGTGGAGTAGGAGAGCACTGTATGTTAGCACACTCACAGAACAGCAAAATTGCTTCTCTGTGTATGGGAAACGCAAACTCAAAGCCATCTCAAGCTACTATCACTCAGAAAACAGATGCTGAGACTTGTTACAAGGAACTGTATGTGCCCTTCGCTTAGCAGCAAAAGAGAAAAGTGTTAGGAGGTATTCAGGAAGGATAAGGAATGAGCCAGCAGATTACTGTACTGTTTTATAGACCCACGTTGTGCCATCTTTTCAACACCACGTGCAGGTCTAATTCTCCACTTACAAAAAGACAGAATAGGAAGCTGCATAGAAAAGCATAACAAGGATGCTCAAGAGGTGGATTTCACTAAGTTGATTAGGGATCTTCAACATGGCCAAGAGACAATCAAGGAGCATAATACGGTTCTACAAAGCCACAGAAGCATCTTGGAGAGTACTAGGGAATAACTGTACACCCCTTTTTCTAACTGGACCAGATGGACCTGGTAAATAACAAGCTCAGAAGAGCTACTTCTGCACACATGTAACTACAGTGGGGAGTTCAGTGTCACATGAAATCACAGCCACCAATTAGTTTGTAGCTGAACAGAAGAAATTCCCATCTAAAATTATTATAATGCAAAGATCACTCTAATTTAAATTCTGCAGCAACGTTCAGTGTAGGCTGTGAGAGCATACCAAAAGTACCATCGTATCCGTGCATGCCCTGTTTTTGCCTATTTCCCTTTGCAAATGCCCATTACCAGAGACTGAACATTGCTCGCAACTCTTCAGTCTGACTGTACACTGTGCCACTGCAACATGCTGGACATGCAGTTGCTCAGCAGTTTCTTTGATCCCAAACCCTCCCCACTTCTTGCAGAACTGTACATGCCAATGTTCCTCTTCCTCCAGATTCCCTCTAATCACATATTCCTCATCCCGCTACAGATCTAACAAATCACAGATTTCTCTCTATATATACAAATAGCTCCTAAGTTTATAAAAGGTGATGGAGCTATGGGAACAAACCACCCAGTCTGAAGTGTTGCTTTACTATTGCTGTGGGTACAAAAATGAGTTTGACTACAACTGCTTTTTTGGTCCTCTTTCTCTTACCTACCATCTGGTGCTTTAAGGCATCAGATGTTACCCCTGGGTCAGTATCTGGCAAAGCTTAAAGGAAAGAGTAAAAATCAAGCAAAGTGAAAGCACTTGCCCCCTCCACTCCAGTATTATTCAATATTGGACAGAGGGGCTGAATTAAACAGATTCCATCCCATCCAAGTACTCTTTGCCTCACAAGGACTTAGAGTACTGTAGAGTGCATTCCTCCTAGGTATCTGAATTGAAGCATCTTGAAGTCACTGCAGGACAGCAGTGTTGTCCTGTTCACTCACGCAGGGGGAGGCAGCCAAGTGCTGAAGCTGCAATTTGTGAAGTAGAGCTGTAAGCTGCGTCAATGCAGAACAAACAGCCTGATGTAAGTCTTCCTCCACTCTAAGTACTGACCAGACCTGCCTATCACTTCCCTGTACAGTAGCATCCAAACATCCCTGGTCTGGGCTAGCAGTTGCCAGGTTCCAGTATCTGGCACACATTATAAAAAAAAAAAAAAAAAAAAAAAAAAAAGACTGAATGGAGAAACAGCAGGATGGAGATCACTGGGATCATCTAAGCTTGCTATGAACAGCACAGCTTGGTCCCATAGCTCAGTTCTCAATTACATCAATTTCTAAGCCATACCCAAATATTCCAGGTGAATGCTAGCTGGCCCAGGGACTACATTAACCCTCCAGTGGCATAGATGGTCAGATGCCAACATTTGGACTCATGTGGCAGAGCTATCTGACTAGCAAGGATTGCTGATTACCCAAGAGGGAAAGTGCCTGATGCAGCAGTTGTAACACAGCTTTCAGGTTAAGCGTTCCATACTATTTAATATGTAAGCAAACAACCTAAAAATCCTTTCAAGCATGGGTGAGCCCAAATAATCTTGCATCTTCAAGGACCCTGTAAGACCAGATTTTTTTTCTTTACATTCCTTGCCGGGTACAAGGCAGGTATAAATGCAGTATATAAACACTATCAGAATCTCAGGCTCTGCTTGCTGCTTTCCAGTAGTCTTTCAGAAGAACTATTCTATGGTGGTGAATGCTGAGTTGGATCTTAGCTATCTTGGCTGGCAGACATAACTGAGTTTAATCTTTCCAGCTTATGCAGAGCAGACCAGGTATTTCTTCATAGTTTTGCACAGGGAAGTGCAGACAACATAACCTGTTCTCAAACCTGAACAAATCCTGTAATTTAATATGGGAATAACTATTACTGCTGCATTATGCTAGAAGCAGTGCTCTAGTTCCTTAGGTAAACCTGAATTTTACTTAGCAACTGGGCACTAGAAAAATTAAAACTGCTGTTTAAAGTTTTCACCCCTCTTTGATCTGCAGGGGATATGAGGAATATTATTCTTCCAGTCTGCCTCCAGAAAATAAACTTAGAAGTCTCTTTGATCTTGCAAAAAATATATAATTTTGGTGGGTTTTTTACTTTTGATCTTAAAAGGTAGCAGCAAACAAAGAATTACAGTGAAGTTTCATTTTTCAAAACTTAATCTACAAATGTCAATTAGAAATAAAAATCATACTTGATTATCACTACTCAAACAGGTGACTGATAAAAGTAGACTTGTTTTCATTCAAATAAAACCAAAACACTTCAAACATCTCCAGGGTTCTCCTCTTTGAGTACTGTACTAGAGGACAGCAATGCAGGAGTCAATGTGGTTTTGAAAATACACATTTCTACTGCTAATAAATTTATTATAAATAATAATATATAGAATAAAATATTAAGATAATTTATTATGTGCTAATAAATCATTTTTTATTTCCTGCAGGATCAATACAGGAATCTGAGCACATCCAGAAAACCAACTGTTAAAATCACAGCTTAAAGTTAAATGCAGGAACCTCTAAATTCTTGTAACATTCCAGTTCAGGTGTTTTTACATTTTACTGCCACATCCACTGTGAAGTTTTATTTCTCTCTCAGGTATATATTATGACAAAAGTCTTACTCATTTATACTAACAGGTAAATGCCTGTGATTTAGTAACAACATCTTTTTCCCTCCCTAATTTCTTTAAATTTCTATTGAAAGATCAATCCAGGTTGGTAAATTAAATGCATGGAAGCCATTTACCAATTTCAGAGTAACAGTACTGATACAGATCTGCTGAGGTGAGAGGAGGCTGGAAGCAATGTGCACAAGAATTTTTTCGTTGGAAAAGATTATGCAACTCTTCCAGTCCAAGGACACAATGGGAAAAAAAAAAAAAAAAACAGAACCAGAAATGTGCAAGGAGTGATACTGAAATGGAAACATATTTATAATGCACATTTTATGTAAATACCTACCAAAGCAAAACATGAGACATTACAGCTTAGCTGTTCACCTGCTTTCTGTAGCTCAGAAGAGACCACAGAATCATTAAGGTTAGAGATGACCTCTAAGACCACCAAGTCCAATGGTTAACCCACCCACACCATGCCCACTAACCACATCCCTCAGTGCCACATCCACAGCCCCAAAGACGGCGACTCCGCCACTTCTCTCGGCAGCCTGTGCCACTGCCTCACCACTCTTGAGAATTTTTCCTGATGTCCAACCTGAATCTCCCTAGCACAGCTGAAGACCATTACCTGTTGTCCTATCTCTAGATACCACAGTGTTTCTTCTACCCTCTGGCTGACAGTTAACAGCGTTGATAACCCACTACTATTTTCTCTTGGGCTCTTTCTCACTCCCCAGTTGCTAGCCAGATCTCTTACGCAAGCAGTCTATCATCCCCTCCCCCCCCAGTTAATATAAAGGTTTTTTCCATACAAAAAGGAACACTGTCTCAGACAGCCACAAAAAGCAAATTAATTTCATGGATAATTTTCTGCAGTTTGGCCCGAAACAGAAAATCTTCCGCACTATTATTTTATCTTAATGGCCAAATTTTGAGAGAAGTTTGATATGAAATACAGACAGATGAGGAAATTTTTTTAAACCTCCTCATCATATTGCTAATGGAAGCTCAAGCAGAAGCTCAGAATGCTTGCTTTCAGGCAAGATGCCAATTTTCTCCTGGTAACTATTTTGTTGCTGCTAGAGCAGTCTCTTCACAGATCATCTCTGCTTTTCTAATAACGGAGGTGCCTCCTTCACCCAGCCAGACCTCAGAACATTCAAGGTGAAAAGTGCCGAATTCAGAGCCTAGTTGTGGAGAACTGAGATTTTTCTGAATCAGAAGTTTACAGTTGATATTTTGCCTTGTTATATTCCAAGAAGGTTTTTATTTAAAAGAAAACTCACTTTTCCCTTTTCTAGCTACTTCATTGCCTGGAACTTTCACATATGGGGAGCCCAATATCAGTCCTGAAGTGGAAATGTTTCTCTCCTACATCTGAAGCAACCTAAAGTCCAAATGGCCATCATTCTTTATACATACGCAGTTTACCAAATCAGCAACTTACTTGTAGGCTCTGTTCATGACTTCTTGAAGAGCAAATCACAGCTGTCAAATCACTACAGGAACTAGTCTTTTACAGCCCAACAGTTGTTGGAGTATTATTATAAGTTACAGACAAAAAAATTTCCTAGTGACTTTTCTTTCCTTTGCTGGTCTCATATTAAAGGCCTATAGTTATCTTTTGTAATTTTATATTTTTGCCTTGGTTCTTAGTACATTTGTTGCATAATTTCTGGGAAAAGCAATATGGGCCAGATTGACATATAGGATAAAAGGGGAAAAGGATCTTCAGATAGGAACAGTGCTGAAGACAACAATAATTTTGGACACCAAGGTCCTAATTTTGGCCAAGAGTAATAAAGTTCACACAGAGAGAACTCAAAGCTCCAATAGATCTACTGTGATATCTGAAAGAACTATAAATTAGGAATAAATATATATATACTTTTTGTCAGCTTAAGAGCCCTTTCCTAATTGAGAATCAATAAATTTTTATGTTTCCTGGTCATACTTTGGCAGTAAAGTTGTTAACTGGAACATCCAAACTGATCCTTCAGGAAAAGCAGCACTTCTTTCAGAACTTAAGGCCAAGACACTTCCAGGAGTGCCATCTCAGAGAAAAAGAAAACCTCTTTGTAGACTATTTTCTTCTCTTTTTGGGTAAGTGAAGATTCAAATCTCATGATAAGCAGTGATCCCAGACACTGACAAGTTTCCTCAGCTTGAAACTGAAGCTAACAGGCTTTTTTCTTTTAAAGTTGGTCAGGTAAAAGGCATCACAAAGTCAACAGTCCTTACCCAACAGCTCAGCAGTAACGTACTGCTCATAAGAACCTCCATATAGCTGTGTCCAGAGGTAACTAAAAGTAAAACCTGAAACCAAAAGGGCCAAAGAAGAACATCACCACAGTATAATTCAGAATTGCTGCCCTAAGATTGCAAGCACTACTGGGCATCTCATTTAACAAATGAGGGTAGAAAGTTAAGCTAGCCTTACCACTTAAGGCATAGTAGTATGGAGTTTGAGTGCAAAATCCTCATTCACATGACCATCTTTTTGATTCCTTTGGTGGAAAAATCTTCATTTAGTATTGTACATTTTACTCCTCCAATGTTAGACTTGAGAGTTTTAGAATATCTACATGCTGTGATTACTAGTCTTACAAGCAAAAGGTACCTTTCTCTCCAATATGCTGTGTCATAAGAACTACTGGTTGCCACATTCAGACAGATTTAAATGTACTTACCAGTGCCAGAATTATTAAGTATTTTCCATATTAAAAACTACTAACTCATAGATGGAAGTCATGCTATTTCTACTCATCATGGCAGCTTTTTTTAAGGCAAAAAACACAGCAAGACTCTGAAATCAATGGTGCCAAAATGTCTTCTTGTAGAGGTTCCTTCACATAGAAAAGAGCCTTTCAGTGGCCATATTGCCTGCAAACCAAATCAGCAGAAACTACGATCAGCACCAACTTAACTGGCAGAAGTTCGAGGGCACAGAAACTAAAATTAACTATTTTTGACAACTGCTAAGAGTAGTTCAAGAATAATCAAAAAAAATATGGATACTGTTACTTCTCATGAAGTTTCTGAAGGAACATCCTCAGCAATGTGATGCCCTAACAAAAATGCTATTTTAAGATGTTCTGAAGGTAACTCCTATTCTTGCTGTTCCACTTCTTACAGTGTGGTTAGTACTGTTGAACAGGAAGGTGGGGGAGCACCAGTTCCCACAAACCAAACCTTGTTAATAAGATCAAATTGGTAACTTAACCAAGTACTGTGGTTGCGTATTATTCCTCTCCAGTGACCTTTAGACGATCTAAAAATACAATCTTTACTTTTCACTCAGCCTACCAGCTTCAAAATAAGTTCTAAGTATTTGAGTCTATTAATCTGTTAGCTTCTTCTCACATACACAAAATAACTCAGGTTTACTTTAGGTCAGCCTGTAATAATAATTCTCTACCTACAAGCCTTAAACTAGTACTGTCATTGCCAAGACAATGTTCCTTCAGTTACAGGGAGCTTCAATCCTAAGTAAAAATAGTACTGACTTATTACAAGCCTGAAGTATGGCTCAGAGCTACTGAAGGTGAGAACACACATCAGTAGACTGAATTTTCATCTCCACTGCAGTTCCAGCAGTAATGCTGATCTAGCAACACTGTCTTAGCCAGTCTCCAGTTACTGCAGTTTTCACTAGTGTAAGAGTTGAAAGCAAGACCAGTATTAAAGTATCTTCAAAGAAAAACAAATAGGCTGTTCCTTTAGTCCTCCCCTAGCTCCTCTCATCTATTTCCCTGCTGTTGCAATCATATGCACTACTTTATGCATTTTACAACTGAGATAGCATTCACATTTTACATCTTTTTAAACGGAGATCAGCCCTAATTGCCAAGTAATGCTCAAATGGAATTAACGTGTCCTTAGGAAATTCCCAAGCAAACCGCTGGAAAAGATCTCTATCCTTCTGTTTCTTACACTGGTCATCCTCAGATAGAATACTGAGCAAGGCAGATTTTGTCTTACTCAATACAGTCATTCTTTTGAGCATAAAATACTACTTTGTCTTGCAGAGCCTACAGGAAGTTTCAAACAATGGCTGAGGAGTACTGTTTTCACAGCTCTGATAGCCTAACTCAACATCTACTGAAAAGCCACATCAGGTTTGAAAGAAAACAGAATTATTTTAGTTTTTCAGTTTACATCCTCTAAGAAAAGAAGACAGTTAATAACAGACAAGCAAAAATACTTGTAATACTGGTTCTAATGAGAATTACACAGAATGCAAGTCACTGGCCACATACAAACACACAGCATATACAGGCTTCTATGTGTACTCTGCTCACCTGTAATATCCACTTGAATTAATTCATTGCAACTCAGATTGTCCTCAACTGTGGTGAAAACATGGTATCCCAAACTGAGGGTTAAATATGATCTCCAATGTTAAAAAAAAAACGTCTTTCCTTGGACAAAGTCTAACATTGCTCAAACTGCTGTGACAGGTCAACTGTCTTAAGTGAATGAGCTTCTCTCCTCAAAAACTCATTGCTGAGCTTCCACCTTTGGAACTTAGCAGCTGTTAATTCAATTACAACGTCCATCCGCGTCAGTACAACTCATAACCAACATTTATATAGCAAGTCTGGACTATTGAGAGTTTGCTGAAAGAGAAGGCAGCAATGCCACCAAAGCAGGCAGCATGCTTCTCTGTAGACTGGTTATCTTGACAGGACATTTTCTGCTCACTTCTGTTCTTAACTCACATTGCAGCACGGGTACTTTGCAAAAGTAACTGTAGCTCACTTGGTACTGTTTATGATTTGCTGTCTCCACAAGCAAGACAAATTCTCCAGACAAAACGTCCTGCCTTAAGCATGACTTCTCACTTAAATGGTAGCAAAGCATTTATGCACAGCTACTCTTCTGCTTCACTGAAGCTCCAAGACGCTCATCTAAACACAACACTCACTTAACTCAGGAGAATGCTGACCTCTTGCCCAGTTACTAAGACCAATGCAGCAATATGCCAGGACAAAGTTTGTCTAACCACTGATTTTGGGAATCACAGCCCAATACCCATGTGATAAATTACACACTAATGACAGTGCAAGATTTTAATAACTATTTAAAACACAAACTGCAAAAGGGTTTTCATGCTATTTACTGCAACATCTGAAATCAAAGCTTTAAATCCAGCAAGGTATTCTGTGCAACTGAACTTTAACATACCTTCCAAATTCATTAGATGCCAACTTTGTAATTATATACAAGTATCACACACAAAAAAAACCATACAAATTCTAAATCCACAAGTGGTTTGCAACAGTACCCCCTACTGCCGTGACCAAGCTCACAAATGTTATACCTACCATTTTACAATTTGTGTGATGTTCCAACATCATAACCATTAGTCTCATTCTGAAGACTGTTAAGATAGTCTCATGGTTAAAAAACTTGTTCAAATCTTTTGTAACACATTTTTCTTTGGTTACCTATATTCTGCATCCCAGTGAGCATTCATTATCTAAAGATTTGCAGTTAACTTGTCTATCACATGTCATTTTCTGGGCTTAGTGAGGCACATTTTTTCATGAGGAATAGCTTCTCAAAATTGGCTTCCACCATCTCAAGCACAAATGTAATACAGTTCTTGGCCCCTTTTATCTATTACTGCCAATCCTAGATTAGAACATCCTCAGTATTTTAGATCAAGATTTAAGTACTTTTGGTACTCACGTATCATCCATAATCCTGAAACTGTCTCTAGCTTTTTGATATCAATTAGAAGAGCAACTCATCCTCACCAGTTTCACTACATGCCCACATAGTATGAGCTCCTCAAAAGCTTCAGATGCTTTGTATTAGCTTCAGCCAGACAGGCACCGTTACAGTCAAAACATACTGCAAATAAAAGCTTGCCCTGGACTGTTAAACAAGCTATATAAAAACCCTTTCGGAATAGCTAATATACTACTTACCAAATATTGCTGCCCTATTATCCTTTTCTGGTTTTCAATACACTTCTTCCTCTCCAGAAGACACGGTGAGTGTCTTTAGACTGCCAACTTTTGACTCACCATCTCAACAGCTTCACTAAACATTGTCAACAGCGTCAACTACGTAAGAACCAGAGAATTGAAGGGGTTGAAAGGGACTTCTGGGGAATGATCAAGACCCATCTGGCCCTGCTTAAGCAGGTTCCCCACAGTAAGTTGCACGGGCAGATCTTGATAAATCCCAGGAGACTCCACAATCTCTCTGGGCAGCCTGTTCCAGTGCTCTGTCTCTTTCGCAGTAAAGTTCTTCCTCCCGTTCCAATTTTTGTCCATTACCCCTTGTTCAGTGGTGTGCACACCACTGAGAAGAGCTGAAAATGCAATGGACCTAAGATAGGAGACTGATTCCTCTGCACTTCTGAAGTATATAACTACCAGGGGAGCTTACATTGTCCAGGAGCCAGTGTGTGGAATGTCACATGTTCAGCATGCCCTGCACCAGTACAATAAGGCCACATTGCCTCTGCAACCTTTCCAAAATATGAGCTGTCAGGAAACAACTTAAGTGACTACAGAACTGATGTTCAACAGCTAGTTAAGTTTTCCACATCCTCATCTTTATTCAAGAGCACATACAAAACACAGCACAGAAATACCTACCCCTCTCAGCAACATTAATAGATAATGAATCCTGATGAAAGCCATCAAGGGATGTTTTTTTGTAGTAAAATTCTGCAGCTTCTGATGATACATTCAATAGACCAATTTACATAGCTACCTCACTGAGAAGCAGTCTCCAACCAGGCAAAGCAGCTGGTCATTACTTACTGAATAACCGAAGCAGGTTATGCAGTAAGCCAAACCACTCCTGGACTTCAGTCACACCATTAATGTACATTTTTGTAGTCAAACTTATTTCTGATCTTCCCAACGCTTCAGATGCTGCTACTTCATGTTCTGCACTACTATAATAGTGCACTGATAGAAAAATGGACCTTCCAAGTATTTGGTGTTTAGAAATAAGTGTATTTCATGAAGTTCTTTTAGATTTCCTGAAGGAAGAAAACTGCTAGCCTTCAATGCTGTCATTTTTGGCTGCAAACTACAGGATTGTTTCTGTATTTTGGTACATTCCAAAAATCATTCAGTAACCACAGCACTACTGATCATTGGCTGCCACGCAGTTGTCACATTCCCTCCTTTATAATGCATTCCTGAGAATGCAGTACAAGAGCCACACCTTAAGGTGGATTGAATCTTCCGTGCATAATTTGTCTTTAAAGGCAACTTACTCAGTTAATCAATTTACAATCCCTTTCTTCCTTGGTGGAAAAGAGATGATCTGCTTAATACAACAAATACAATGTTAACATGTTACTGTGTGGTTAGTGACTGCTGCAAGCAAATGTTCCAATGCTTATACTCCCACGCTGGGAATAGATAACACTGCCAATGTCTTCTTCGGTGGGCACAGTTCCACTTCTGGTCTTTTCATGCTAAATTGGCAGCTCATGAAAACTCCCCTTTCCTGCTCACCCCGACCAGATGTAGAAGAAAATGAAAGCTTTAGTCCATGGCTTTTCTGTAATCACAACTTCCCTCACACCACCTGAAATTTCAAGTGTTTCTTTTTACAAGTGGTTCATGTTGATGCTTCCACACCACCTTATCTACTTCCTTCCATCTCCTACATGACATCTTCAAGAAGCACTCAGCAGTTTGAATTTATGTATCAATGCTGCACAGTCTACTTGCAACTTCCATTGCTTTGAATTACAGGTGCTCAGTATCAAGAAGTCTGCATACCTTTACATTTCCTAAGAGCCAATAGTTTGTTTCTTTTTCATATATGGAAGCTCACCACTTATTTCCCTACGGCTACGTTTATCCTTCCCAAAGAGGGCAGTTTGATGTTTTGGAAAAAGTGTTATTTTAAATATGCAGAGACAGTAATTTTGGTTCACGTGCAGTTTTTTATAAGTGTCTGCTAAACAATTTCAACAACTGTTTCAGCAGGATTTTAAAAGCATGGTCCCAATCCAAGCGAGAACATCTCTCCAGGTGTTACACTTTCTTCCAGTTACAGATCCACATTTGTCAAGCAGCACTGACAAAAACGTTCCAACTCACTGGAAAAAGGAGAACAAGGTCTAAATAAAATGGTTCATTTGAGGAGGAAGAAACTTAAACTTGCAAATAAGCACAGAATTGTATATTTTTTACCTTTTTTTTTTTTTTTTTTTTTTTTGCAAAAGCACCTAAAACTGCACAGAACTTGTAATACTTTTCAGTAAGTTCAAATCTAGCATTCTGATCTCATCTCAGATGCCGGATCCGTAGGTTTTTCAACAAAGAATTCAGGTTCGGGATAGGATCATCATAGATGAGATGCAGAAACTGTACCACAAAAGTAAATCTAATGCATGATGCGCTTTTCTTCTTTGATAGCATTGTTGATTGCAATGAAAAAGTTGAACCTTCTTCATCCTTTCACACATAAATAAGGTTAAGTATTTAAAACTTCACAAGTAGATTTTAAGGTTAGCTGAGGTTAGGCACAACTACTGGCACATGCAGTCCCTTGGGTAGTAAGTGATCTTACACTTAGTAGACATACACAGTAAGTAGGAAGTTACAATACAGACCTACTGTATCAGTTATTGAAGCGTATTAGCAACAGTCACAGCACTAAAAATTTCTTACTTGTAAACACATACTTACTTCAGACAATCATAAAATGCTTGGAAGCTTTTTAATTACATACCTGAACAAATTAGAAGCATTTGTTCGTACAGTTGTGACCGTTTTCCTGCTGGAAAAGAGACTTTCATTAGCTCAGAAATGTTTTCTTCCACCACTCAAAACACAGCACACTATTTGGTCTCTCATTACTAAGCATGTGGTGGAATAACACCAGCACTTATTAAGCTTCAGAAAACGTAACCTACAAGCGTTCTCGCATCAAAGTAAGTTTCTTTTTACATGTCTTGCCTGGACACTACTTAACTTTGCTATAAGCTGTGTCAGACAACTGATCTGTTAAGTCTAAGCCTCCCCCTACCGTAATCAAACAATTTCTGAAAATATTAGTGAGAATATGGTTCTCAGCTGGTAGCAAAACACTGAAAGCCCAAATCAACCAACAAGCGTTATATTAAAAAACTATTCTTCTATGCAGGACACCTGAAGTAACAGGAGAATTAAGCATGGTATCTTGAGCTGGAGCTGATGAAGCTTATAATTAAAGCCAATATAGGTGATGAAACACTTCAGCACTTCCCATGATGCGCATACAGAGACTCTACTGTATTGCAGATAAGCCATCTGCAGTAATTGTTTACACGTCACCTCATACTTTTTCATGTGGTTGACATGATAATGCAGTTTTAAGTACAGTCATTCAAACAGTTTGCCAAATTTTCAAGGCCTGAAAGAACTACCAAATCTATCATCTTTTTAATATTTTATATGTTTTACCTGTTCATGACACAATAATAATCTAATCTCAAAAGTCAGACACATGTATTTTTATAATTTAATTCTATCATTTATTGAATTCATACCTTCAAGAAGCAACCTTCAAGCATCCCTGCAAAGACAAAAATTGCACCAATTAGTTTTATTAACAAGGTTTGCTACTTTCAGCTTTCCTCTAGACTCCTGTCTAAACAAGACATTATTTTACAGGTAGCACTTCCACACAAAAAAGCTTCATTCCTTTATTTAAACTTTACATACTGAGACAAAACCCATTCTTTAAAAGAAACTGCTAGTAGCAGTCTTTAAATGCCTTTCTTTGAGAGAGGAGTGAAATAAAATTATGATGTCTAGTTGGAGACAGCAAAATTAGAACCTCACACTTCTAGATTTTGACTTTTTACATAAAAGCTGAATTTGTATAGAAATTGTGCTTCAAACCCCGCATTTCACTGAGAAAGACTAAATTCAGAAAACTGAGAAGAACGAAGACCTTGAGCTCAGTTACCAAAACACCTGAAGCACAATGAGCATTCTTGTGCACATCTTCTGCCTGCTGCAAGTAAATTTAGACTAGCCTTTCCGAATTACGTTAACACTAGAGCTGAAACATCTTTAGTTCATTACAATTCACCTCTAACCATTAACTTTAGCAATCCTTAATGCCCACATCAGAATACATCCTAAGTTAACAGTGCTTTTGAAAGAGTCATAGTCCAAGTGTCATCAGCTAACTCAAAACCCAGCAAGGCTTCATTTTCTTACCAGGGCACTTTCAATATTTGGCAAGTTTCTAATTTTTACACTCCTAAACAAGATACCTAAAATTACACAGATCTAAGCTTGTCTTCTTTTAAAGGTGCTACCACCTGCTGAGCAACAGCACATCCATAAGCCATTTCAGTTGTGCACCAAAGCCCGTATTCACAATATTGAGCTTGTATATGGGGACAGAATAGATGTAAAACTAGCAGAGAGTGAGTGACAGAAAGATTAAATGACTTTTGAAAGAAAAGTGGTTTTGACTCAGAAGCCAGATCCGTATGAAGTTTTTCATCAACAAATCAGGTATGGCAACTTCATCACAATCCACCACTTCAATAACTGTACTGGAAAGGGAATACCCTGGGCTTTAATAGGGAATACATCAACAAAAAAAGTCAGCAGTTTATCACTAAGTATTACCTCTATCTCTTGCAGAATAGTTGCAGAATATCTTTCACCACAATGCTCAACTTTTCCATTATTAAAACCTGTTCATATGCCATCCTAGATAGAAACAAAGCAAGCAATTAGAATATGTTCATTCAATAACATAACCCAACCGGGATGACTAAGTTTTAGTCTTGGGAATCACCCTTTCTCCCCATTTTTACTCTCCAGGCACAGCCAATGGCTGTAGGCATTTGAGTTTGACAAGTTAAATTGAACAGATCCTAATATTGTTTCTTAGCATTTTCAAAAAATAAGACTATAGACTATACTCCTAAAAATGAGTAATACATTTTAATAGGAAACTTAAAACTAGATTTGTCTGTTTATACTGACAAAGAACTTTCAGCTGTCAACTTCATTTTCTTCAACTCAACTCTTATATTAACTTTCTGATAAAGTATATACTGACAGATAATTATAAGTCACCTTGAGATAATCTTTGTCACATTTACAATATAAATCTTAGACATATTTTACCAGCTCCTTCACAAGCTGTTTGAAATAATGCAAACTATTCACCCATCTTCCTAGCCTACACACCTCAACATAGATCATGTCAAATAACATGCCTGAAGTACACTAATATCTCATTTCTGAGCTCATGACAATGTTACTAATTTGATTACAAGTTTGTTGCTAAGCCATTTAACAAGTTAATTTATCTCCACAGATCATTCAAAACATACACAGCTTTCAGGAAAATCCACTTGTGTGTACCAAATGCTCTTCTAGTTCCAATGGTGCTTCCATGGCGGGCTAAAATCAAAATTAAACAAAAATTAGTTCAAGTAGAAAATCAGTTACAAAGGTCTAAGCACCATGTCATATAATACCATGTCAGGAAGTGATCAGCAGGAAATAAAATTTCTTTTCATACAAAACAAAATTATTAATATTAGTGTACAATTGTCTGCCAAGAACTTGCAGTTGAAATTCCATACGCAGTAGAAAAAAGGTGGCCTGAAATCATTTCAGACCTTTTTTTTAGGATGAAGAACCAAGTCACTTAAACTTCTGTTTTACGTTACACATTTATTCACAGTGTTAGTCCCAGTATTTGTAGATTCCTTCCAACTGAACTACTGCACTGTTCATAGTTTACAGGATCAGCAGTTACATTCAAATATGGCCACACATGTGGGTTCACATTAGCTCCAATACAAGTCCAATGCAAGACAGTTAACAGTTACTAAATTACACTGATCTCAAAGATGGTGCACTGATCAAGAGATCTATTGTGTAGGCCCTCATACTTAATGAAGTGGTACAGAAAAGATGATAATTAAAAACATGTGACCTCAGTACTGGCCTTAACTCACATAATTACTCTTAATTTTAAAGGCAACCATGCAAATGCAATGTGCAACTGGTTTTCTGTTTTGATCCACTCAACAGCCATATAAACATGACAATCTCCAGCACCTCACACATTCTATACTTTTGTCAGACAAAAGTGTGGAAACTGAAATGGAAACATTTACATGCAGGGCTATTCCTATAGCAAAAAAACAACTATTACCTGAATGCTTCTGCACAACATACTGGACACCACTGAAAGTTTCTGCTTCATACCTAAAAATAAACAGCAGACAAGCTTACCATTTGAAAGAAGCAGATACTTAGTAGCAGATCCCTTGATAACACACATTAAGACTTTCTGAAGTCCCAGAAACAATGAAATGTTAAGTACTCAAGCCTTATATTGCAGTTTTTTCAGAAGGCAGTAAGAAACACAGCCATTTAAATAACAAGGAAACAACAAGTTATATTCATTCATAAAGCAAAGAAAATATTTGTTTTGTTATGTACATTTCAAATACATTCCTTTTTTCAACAAAGATGTTTATTACTGCGCACCGTGCAGATGAAATAAACAAAGGCCACAGTCTGTGGATAGATTACTAAACTTGGCTTCGCTTCAGATGACAGTAATTAAAGTATACTTATTGCACCCAATAACCACGGTGTACTAACAGCTAGTAAAGATACAAGAATTTCACTGCTCAGTAATCTAACATCTGACTCGGGATATCATTAGATGAGCCATCACAAGGCAGAGTGATTGCCTCTTACATGAATACAGCCACCTTCTAATTGCTGCTCGCAGGTAAGCCTACTTCTCTCTCTCGCTTACAATTCCTGCTCTTCCAGGACAACTACTGCTCAATGACAGCAGCATTCCCATAGAGAAAGGAGCATCTCAGGCTAAAGATTTTTAAAAATATGCATTTCCATAAAGCTTCTTTTATTCTGCTCTCACTGTCTAGCAAGAAATGCAAGCCTCGACGGTTAAAGCGTTCATCTGGTGATTCACGAAGCACACAATCCTATGACGAAGTAAAAGGGCCACTGACTTCTTCACATACGCTCTAACCTCATGTCAGAATACCTCTCTCCCGTCGATCTGTGTGTCGGCGTGAGAATAGGTAATCAACAACTCAACGTAACGAAGGGCCGCCCCGCTTTTCACTTTTCACTAACGAAGGGGCGAATTCCGACCCTAAGGCCTTACGGCTGCCGGCGCAGGCGGGCAGCGATCACCCAGCAGCCCCCCGAGGGCACCTCTACGGCCGCCAGCCTCAGCTCAAAATGGCGCGGGCTACGCAGCGCCCCGCCGGGCACCGCCCGCACCGGGGCAAAATGGGACCCCGCCGCCCACGCGGCCGCCGCCTCCACAAACTACGCGTCCCGGCGTGCCCCGCGCCTCTTCCGGCAGGGAGCCGGGCCCACCATTTTCCCGCCTCCCTGCCCGTGGGGCGCGAGGCACGCCGGGACCTGCAGTTCGCCCCTCCGTCCCTTCGCCGCCGCGGCGCTTTACCCCCTGGGCTGCGGCCTCACGGCGGTTGCCGCCCCGCAGCGCCCGCACCCTGTACGTGCCGCCCCACGGAGCGAGCCTCGCCGCCTGCTCCAGCTTCAAACAAACACGCGGCATCGCGACACGATGCCCCCCGGCTGTCCAAGCGCGAACCAACAAGCCCGAGTGTCCCCCAGCACAAACCGCACAGCGCCACTCTCATCCGCCCTGCCGACCCCTTACCGCCACCGCCACCGCTCCACAGGAAAAGAGGGGGCGGGGGGCGCTCGCGGCCTTTATATGGACTTAGAGGGGTGGGAACGAGGCTAGCCCCGCCCATCGCCCCGCGAGCCGGGGGTGGAGCCTGTGAGGGCCGGGCGTAGGAATGCGTTTTCCCCGCCCGGCGCGCGCCCCCGCTCGGAGGGGCCGGCGGTTGTTGCCCCGCCTCTCGCCCGGCCCTCAGCCCGGGGGCGGGGCTGCGGCTGGTGGCGTGGTTCCCTTAGCGCCGCGCTCGGAGCGCTGGAAGAGGCGGTGTTTTGTGTGTCGGCCGGCTGTTGTTGGGGATCTCACCTCACAGGGATTTTGCATAAAACGCAGAACGAATAGGGGCAGAAACCAAACGCAGCTCCACATCATGAGCTTATTATAATGCATCTGCTGAATTCTTGTTTGCTTTTGTCTGTGTTCTGATAGTGTTTGCCAGGACTTCAGCTAGCTGAACTATTCTATAGCTCTGCCTAAGCGTTTCAGCTTTCCTTTGTCTCTAATTAGATCTTCCTGGAATCGCACCGCTCGCCCGCCCTTTCCCTTTTTGGAAATAGCACGCACTGCTTTACCACGTACAGCATTCCGAGTCGGCGGAGCTGACAAATCGTCTGGTGCTCACAGCGGGTGGAACGCTTTCTGGCACGTCTATTGCTTCCTTCTGCAGTTTGTCACTGGAGGGTCAGATCGCTGCTCCACGGTGAAGCCGAGGGCGGGCTTGCTCCAATGCCAGACAGAAAGCTGTTTGGTTTGCAGCTGGATGGCCTCGTGTGCTGATGTGGCAGTGCTAGCGAAATCATTGGGAATGGGCTGCAGCGGGGATGGCAGGAGCACTGGAACCTAGGCGGTGTTAAAGCTGCTGTGAAACCGCATCCTAGATTGTAGCATCGTGGAATCATTAAGGTTGGAAAAGACTTCGAAGATCACCTTAGAGTTCAATCGTCAGCCCACCCCCACCATGCCCACTAACCACATCCACACGGTTCTTGAGCACCTCCAGGAACGGTGACTCCACCACCTCTTGGGCAGCCTGTGCCACTGCATCACCACTCTTTCTGAAAGGAAATTTTTCCTAATATCCAATCTGAATCTCCATTGGTGCAACTTAAGACTGTTACCTCTTGTCCTATCTCTGTTACCCAGGAGAAGCAGCTGAGTCCTGCCTGACTTCATCCTCCCTTCAGATAGTTGTAGAGAGTGATAAAGTCTTCCTTGAGCCTTCTCTTCTCCAGTCTAAACAATCCAGTTCCCTCAGCTGCTCCGCATAAGACTTGTGCTCCAGACTCTTCACCAGCAATGTTGCCTTTCTTTGGGCACACACTTTGTGAAGGGAACCACACTAGCTTCTGTAATCTGGCAGAAAAAAACTTGTTATCTCAGTTAGATTTTAGTGGACAAGTTTAGTGATAGTGCCTGAATGCAAACTGTACACAAACTTTTTATTCCAAGAGAAATACAGCTCATATTTCTCAGCATTATGTAAATCTGCTAGTCACTGGTCAGGCTTCTGGGTCAAGGGAAGTACAGTTTAATAGAGATGAGCAATAATTACAATTGCAAGGCAGAAAAGTGTTAACAACAACAACAAGCCTGCAATTCTACATCATATTTTAAGTTAAGTTTCCTTCTTAGCTGCTTTGCTTTCCCTTCCTTCAGACTTCCCCATCTTGAAGGTACACCCCAAGTGTTTGGATAACAGTGCAGGCTGTAGAACAACACCTGAACCTCAAACTCTGCTCTGCAGCAAAATCCAAAAGCTAGTTGGAGCTACGAGTGTGACTGCAGCAAGACTTAATTTATAATGAGCCCATCCTAATTTGGCTCACCCCACACCTATGCCTGCATGCACACTGTTACCTCTGGAAAGGAGAGTGCTGGTTCTGATATGCTGGTGGCACACTGTATTACCTTGTTTGAGGCACAAATTTATGCCTGGTGGCAAGGGCACTGCTAGGAAGTTTCAGCTCAAGGTAACTTTCTCCAAGTTATATTTTCTTACTTTAAATGATTTTTTTTTCTTGTTATTTCTCCCCCTGCTTCCCTTATGTTCCTATTTTGAATCTAGCTTCCTGGATTTTCTCCTGTAGCTTTGCAACTTCGATGACTCACACCTCTTGGTTTACTTTGGGGTTGTTACCAGCGCATCCTTTGGGATACTGAGTTCCCCTCCCTTTTCAGCTTCCCAGCAGGAAGTCTATTGTGCACAGCTTTAATTTCTTCCTTCTCAGAGCTGATAGTACTCGCTGTAAAGTTCTGAGCTGACTTTACCCTATTTTGCACTGTGTATCATAAAAATTGTGAGTTGTGAAAATATCATTTGGCTTATGATTTTGGCCCTGGTAAATATTGGCTATAATTTTTTACAGAGAGAAGAATTTTTAATATAAATTTCTCAATGGTTTCTCTTCAAAATTTTAGTCACCTTACTGTAACAGAAAAATGAGTATGTTTTGTTCATAACTGAGATCATAAAAATGTTAGACTGGCTGCACAGAGTCAGAGCATAGGGCCACCCCCCAGTATCCTGCCTCCAACTGTAGACAGAAGTAAATAATAAAGGGGAAGGGAGCAGGGACGGATCAAGCACATCACAGGAATCCTTCTCTGAATATGTGCTCAGCTTCTGGGAATACCAAACTCCTCCCAGAGTATGGTGGTTTTCTCTGTGTGTAAATGTAACAACTGTCCAATCCTCAATAAATTTGCTTTCCATAAACTTGTGAAACCTTCTGTGCGGCTTGTATAAAATTTTAGCATCCACAGTATTATTGGCAAGGAGTACCACAGCTTAATTACCAAATCACAGAGTTGCAGGGGTTGGAAAAGACCTTAAGAGATCAACGAGTCCAACCCCCCTGCTAAAGCAGGTACCCTACAATAGGTCATACAGGTGGGCATCCAGACAGATCTTGAATATCTTCATGGTAGGAGACTCCCAATTAGTGCTGTGTGAAAGTGCACATCCTTTAGTTTGCTTTGTACCTACTATCTATTACCTGACTGCCCAGTTTTAGAAGAAGTCCTGAGTGTGACTGTCCCCTTTTATACAGTGACTGTATAAAACACCACGAGGGACACCTCTACACACAGCAAGTCTTCTCACAGAGGCTGCAGAAACCTCATTTGCTTACTCATTCCTCATATGGAAATCAATTTCTACCCTTGACCTTACTTTTGTTGTTCTTTTCCAATATTTTTCTCATTTCTCTTTGAGATTTGGTCTGAAAGCGCATTAAAGAAGCAAGCACAATATGGGCTTACAGAGTGTGTGTTGATCATCATCATCATAGAATGGCCTGGGTAGAAAAGAACCACAATGATCATCAAGTTTCACACCCCCTGCTATGTGCAGGGTCACCAACCACCAGACCAGGCTGCCCAGAGCCACATCCAGCCTGGCCTTGAATGCCTCCAGGGATAGGGCATCCACAATTTCCTTGGGCAACCCATTCCAGTGCTTCACCACCCTTTGTGAAAAACTTCCCCCTAATACCTAACCTAAACCTCCCTGTCTCAGTTTAAAACCATTCCCCCTTGTCCTATCATTATCCACCCTTGTCACCAGTCATTCCCCCTCCTGTTTATAAGCTCCCTTCAAGTACTGGAAGGCCACAATGAGGTCTCTCCAGAGCCTTCTCTTTTCCAAGCTAAACAAGCCCAGTTCCCTCAGCCTTTCCTCACAGGAGAGGTACTCCAGCCCTCTGATCATTTTAGTGCCCTCCTCTGGACCCACTCCAACAGCT